AGAGAGAGTGTTTGTGTGTGTGTGTGAGAGAGAGAGCGAGAGAGTGTGAGAGAGAGAGCGAGAGAGTGTGTGTGTGAGAGAGAGAGAGAGTGTGTGTGCGAGAGAGAGAGAGAGTGTGTGTGTGTGAGAGAGAGAGCGAGAGAGTGTGAGAGAGAGAGCGAGAGAGTGTGTGTGTGAGAGAGAGAGAGAGTGTGTGTGCGAGAGAGAGAGAGAGTGTGTGTGTGTGAGAGAGAGAGCGAGAGAGTGTGAGAGAGAGAGCGAGAGAGTGTGTGTGTGAGAGAGAGAGAGAGTGTGTGTGCGAGAGAGAGAGAGAGTGTGTGTGTGTGAGAGAGAGAGCGAGAGAGTGTGAGAGAGAGAGCGAGAGAGTGTGTGTGTGAGAGAGAGAGAGAGTGTGTGTGCGAGAGAGAGAGAGAGTGTGTGTGTGTGAGAGAGAGAGCGAGAGAGTGTGAGAGAGAGAGCGAGAGAGTGTGTGTGTGAGAGAGAGAGAGAGTGTGTGTGCGAGAGAGAGAGAGAGTGTGTGTGTGTGAGAGAGAGAGCGAGAGAGTGTGAGAGAGAGAGCGAGAGAGTGTGTGTGTGAGAGAGAGAGAGAGTGTGTGTGCGAGAGAGAGAGAGAGTGTGTGTGTGTGAGAGAGAGAGCGAGAGAGTGTGAGAGAGAGAGCGAGAGAGTGTGTGTGTGAGAGAGAGAGAGAGTGTGTGTGCGAGAGAGAGAGAGAGTGTGTGTGTGTGAGAGAGAGAGCGAGAGAGTGTGAGAGAGAGAGCGAGAGAGTGTGTGTGTGAGAGAGAGAGAGAGTGTGTGTGCGAGAGAGAGAGAGAGTGTGTGTGTGTGAGAGAGAGAGCGAGAGAGTGTGAGAGAGAGAGCGAGAGAGTGTGTGTGTGAGAGAGAGAGAGAGTGTGTGTGCGAGAGAGAGAGAGAGTGTGTGTGTGTGAGAGAGAGAGCGAGAGAGTGTGAGAGAGAGAGCGAGAGAGTGTGTGTGTGAGAGAGAGAGAGAGTGTGTGTGCGAGAGAGAGAGAGAGTGTGTGTGTGTGAGAGAGAGAGCGAGAGAGTGTGAGAGAGAGAGCGAGAGAGTGTGTGTGTGAGAGAGAGAGAGAGTGTGTGTGCGAGAGAGAGAGAGAGTGTGTGTGTGTGAGAGAGAGAGCGAGAGAGTGTGAGAGAGAGAGCGAGAGAGTGTGTGTGTGAGAGAGAGAGAGAGTGTGTGTGCGAGAGAGAGAGAGAGTGTGTGTGTGTGAGAGAGAGAGCGAGAGAGTGTGAGAGAGAGAGCGAGAGAGTGTGTGTGTGAGAGAGAGAGAGAGTGTGTGTGCGAGAGAGAGAGAGAGTGTGTGTGTGTGAGAGAGAGAGCGAGAGAGTGTGAGAGAGAGAGCGAGAGAGTGTGTGTGTGAGAGAGAGAGAGAGTGTGTGTGCGAGAGAGAGAGAGAGTGTGTGTGTGTGAGAGAGAGAGCGAGAGAGTGTGAGAGAGAGAGCGAGAGAGTGTGTGTGTGAGAGAGAGAGAGAGTGTGTGTGCGAGAGAGAGAGAGAGTGTGTGTGTGTGAGAGAGAGAGCGAGAGAGTGTGAGAGAGAGAGCGAGAGAGTGTGTGTGTGAGAGAGAGAGAGAGTGTGTGTGCGAGAGAGAGAGAGAGTGTGTGTGTGTGAGAGAGAGAGCGAGAGAGTGTGAGAGAGAGAGCGAGAGAGTGTGTGTGTGAGAGAGAGAGAGAGTGTGTGTGCGAGAGAGAGAGAGAGTGTGTGTGTGTGAGAGAGAGAGCGAGAGAGTGTGAGAGAGAGAGCGAGAGAGTGTGTGTGTGAGAGAGAGAGAGAGTGTGTGTGCGAGAGAGAGAGAGAGTGTGTGTGTGTGAGAGAGAGAGCGAGAGAGTGTGAGAGAGAGAGCGAGAGAGTGTGTGTGTGAGAGAGAGAGAGAGTGTGTGTGCGAGAGAGAGAGAGAGTGTGTGTGTGTGAGAGAGAGAGCGAGAGAGTGTGAGAGAGAGAGCGAGAGAGTGTGTGTGTGAGAGAGAGAGAGAGTGTGTGTGCGAGAGAGAGAGAGAGTGTGTGTGTGTGAGAGAGAGAGCGAGAGAGTGTGAGAGAGAGAGCGAGAGAGTGTGTGTGTGAGAGAGAGAGAGAGTGTGTGTGCGAGAGAGAGAGAGAGTGTGTGTGTGTGAGAGAGAGAGCGAGAGAGTGTGAGAGAGAGAGCGAGAGAGTGTGTGTGTGAGAGAGAGAGAGAGTGTGTGTGCGAGAGAGAGAGAGAGTGTGTGTGTGTGAGAGAGAGAGCGAGAGAGTGTGAGAGAGAGAGCGAGAGAGTGTGTGTGTGAGAGAGAGAGAGAGTGTGTGTGCGAGAGAGAGAGAGAGTGTGTGTGTGTGAGAGAGATAGAGAATGAGAAAGGCTTTCAGAGAGAAGGGTTTTATTTCTGCGGTTCAGCTAAGAATAGATTATTCCGTCGCTCATTTATTATTGGCCGTTTTAATGGAGTGCAGCAGGAAGCAGCTGTGTGTGTTTTTACAGACGTTCTCATTTGTTCCAGTAGGAGGCTGAATGTGATCTCTTTAGATGTTCCCTTCAGTTATTTCCTTCATTTGCAGGTCATTTTTAAACTCGGCACTAACTAGTATTATCATCCTGCCAGCTCTCCCTCAAACACTAAACCAGGGTCTACAGAAGTCAAAATATGGCAAAAAAAACCTTAGCGGTTGTGCTTAATTAAAAATGGATCTCTTGTATAATGCAAAACAAAATGATGTTGTTGTTCTTCAGTGATTCCGTCTTGTTTTCCAGCACAAGTACCTAAACATTCTAAAACCAAGAAGTATTTACTGGAGAAGCAGAATGACCTGATGTTTTTCTGAAAAATGAATTGAGTTGTTGCTTAAAACAAAAACATCTGCCAGTGGGGTCAGAAAAATTATCTTGTTTTCACCTCGAATTTAGGTTTTTGTTTTTTTTGCTCCATTGGCACTTAATTTTGTTAGAGAAAAGAAAAAAAGTGTAGTATATAAATTAATAAAGAATAAATAAACTATAATGACACTAACTAGAAAGCTCATAATTTATTTATAATGTATTTGTTTCTTTATTTTTGAACTTTATTTAACAAAGAAAGCCTCTGAGATTAACAAATTAAGAACTTTTTACAGGTGCATCTTTCCTAATTGGCAGGAAAATATATACACAAAGCAAATACCATGCTTTAAACAACGCCAAAAACATCTGCAATGCGAGACTTCACTCACTTTCAGATGATTCCGGTTAAGGAAATACGTGAGCTCCAGATGTTGGATGGTGGAGCCAACCCTTCAAGAACTGAACTTCATCAGAGAGAACGTGTAGTGTTATAGTACCGCGCAAAATATGGTACCAAGCACGTTTATTTATTTATTTGAAGTATACTATATTTATCGCGCATGTGCTAATACCGTGGTGTTCTATTATGTAGCTACTTTGGAGGCAATTGTACAAAAAGCGCATGCTTTCAGAAGTTTTCCGTTTATAAACGTGTATGTAGCGTCACGGTTCAATGTCAAAAAACAAAAACAAAAATAGCACTCCCATGCACTTTTTTTCTAAGCATAGACTAATAGACTTTTTTGTTTATCGCACATGTGCTAATACCGTGGAGTTCTATTATGTGCTTTAGAGGCAATTGTACAAAAAGCGAATGCTTTCAAAGAGGTTATCAGAGAAATATGTATATGTTTATGTATATAGCATCAAGGTTCCATGTCAAAAAAATGGCATCTATGTATAGTAGACTTTATTTTGCTTATCGCACATGCGCTAATATGGTATTTTAGTTAGGCCTGTGCACTTTAGAGGCAATTGTACAAAAAGCGCATGCTTTAAAAAACGACATCGGAGAAATGTGTATATAAACGCGTGTATGTAGCCTATACTGAATGTCAAAAATGGCACTGCCATGCACTTTTTTTTCTAAGTATAATAGACTTTTATGTTTATCGCGGATGTGCTAATACCGTGGTGTTCTATTATGTAGCTACTTTGGAGGCAATTGTACAAAAAGCGCATGCTTTCTAAAACGTCAGAGAAAGGTATAAACGTCAAGGTTCCAAGTCAAAAAATGGCTCTGCCATGCACCTTGTTTTTCTAAATATAATAGACTTTTTTGTTTATCGCGCACATGGTAGTACCATGGTATTCTATGTATATTCTATTGTATTATTATGAACTTCAGAGACAGTTATACAAAATAGCGCATGCATTCAACGCCAGTAAAGCGTTTGCGGTTGTTTTGCAGACTGTAAGGCCGGCGAGGAGAAGAGCAGAGATCAGCCCAAGCAGCTCTTGTCTTTGGAGATTAATGTTTCATTACAAGCTTTTTATATCGATTCATTTGTTTGCAAACATCAGTGCATAGAATTAGAAAACGAAAAGCCGCTTTTCTCTAACTGATTGGAATTGAAGCTTTTATTTTAAAGAGTTAAGGAGTTTTGACGTTGTTATTGGGTGTCGTCGTGTAATGAGTCGCTCTGTTGTGTGTTCAGTGTTGGGTCATTTGTCATCTAGCCCGCTGTAGCCCATATTTTGACAGGATTTGCAACTTTAAGGCGTCCTCGCAATTTCTCAGTGCATAAGTGCTTTTTTACTATCCCGTGAATGCCTGTATATTTTTGGCCAAATGTTGGACGTCAAGGACGATTTCTCTCCACACGCTAATAGAGCGCCTGTCACACATAATGGCGCATAATCAGGGCAATCATTCCCCCGCGGAGACATGAGCCAGTTGTTGTTCTAGATCAAGTTTCACGTTTAATGGAAGAAAATTGGCATTTCAGACGCTTCGCTCCTGCGGCTCGGAGTCGTCCACCTGCGAGATGTTCCTTTCTCTCAGCCTCTGTGTTGTGCTCTGTAAGCCGCGCACGCGCTGGCTCGGCGGCTCTGCGGCGGCTCTGTAGCGGCTCTGAAGCGGCTCTGCGGCGGCTCTGTAGCGGCTCTGCGGCGGCTCGGTTCTCTCGGTGATCCGGCAGAGGAAGAGTGTGTGATGTGAAGCAGATGTGTTTAACCTCGCGCCTCCAGCAGTTATCATGTCACAGCATCGCGTCCAATTACACTCCAGCTTGACTTTTGGGATGTTTCTGCAATAAATGGAATACTTAAGAGCGCCCCGAAAACATTTCCTTGCTTTTAAATAAAAATAACTCACCTTACAACTCTATTATTATTATTATTATCATTATTATTGTTGTTGTTGTCTTATAATCTAATGTAGTCTAATGCAAATTATGCTTTACAGTAATTTAAAACAATACACTAAGCTATTATTATAATTTTTGTTTATCCTTATTATTATTATTATTATTATTACTATTGTTTCGTCTAAGCACGCGTGTAATGCCAATTATGCCAAGTAATAATTTTAAATAGGCTAATACACTTGGGTCAATAATAATAATAATAATAATAATTCTAATACAAATTTTTATCCATTGTGTGTAGCAATTTTTCTCTGTTCTGGTCTCTCTCTCTCTCTCTGTGTGTGTGTGTGTGTGTGTGTGTGTGTGTGTGTGTGTGTGTGTGTGTATATATATATGTGATATAATTACTATTGTTTCGTCTAAGCACGCGTGTAATGCCAATTATGCCAAGTAATAATTTTAAATAGGCTAATACACTTGGGTCAATAATAATAATAATAATAAAATAATAATAACAAATTTTTATCCATTGTGTGTAGCGATTTTTCTCTGTTCTGGTCTCTCTCTCTCTCTGTGTGTGTGTGTGTGTGTGTATCTACATTTGTGATAATTATAAAAAGTGCAATTATAAATTTGGTGACACAAAATGGCATGTTAGTGCTCAGCTGCATGAATAAAAATAAAAACAATAGATCACTAAAAACGTGCTGTCGCGCAGTTTAGACGCTTAATCTGAATTTAGGTTTATTTTTAACTCAAATCTCTCGTGTGTGTTAACATTACACATTCAGGCCTATTTATGTATTTATTTGTTAATGATACTGTTATGTTCCTATATTTAGAGTAAACGTATTAATATTATTATTATGCATGCATTATATATTTTTATTTTATTTTATTGCAATTCATTTCTTTGCTTTACTACGGTAGGCCTACATCAGTGTACAAGTGTTGTTGGCCAATATATATATATATATATATTCTCTTTAATAGCTATAGGTTAAATTTGCAATAATCAAAATGCATAGCGTTTATTTCGTGTGCATGGTCTCAGATAAACTCTCAAAGCAAGCGAATATTTCTTATGTAATAAATAAACTGGAATAGTGATGATTTAGGCTCGCGCTGCTCCGCTCAGAGCTCGTGGAGGTCCAGTCGTGTTCTCACGGTCTCTCAGTGTCTGTCTGTCTGTCTGATGCTTTATTTCAGTCTCGAGATCCCGGGAGCTGCGTTAGGTCGAACTTCTCCACGACTTTATGAAAACTCTCCAGCGATTCCTCTCACTCTGAGAGCGCACAGCAAGCTGAAGCCTCGCGCTCGAGATGTGCTGCTGAATGAAAGCTGGAGAAGCTGGGCTCTGGAGGGAAGTTAGACGCAGAGCTGCAGAGCTGCAGAGCTCGGGTCACTGCTTTTGAGCTGCAGGTTTTCAGCCAGATGCACTCTCAGATAACAGATGAAATAGACACGCACGTGACATCTGATCTCTGGGCTGGAGACATCTATGAAAAGATGATTCTCAAACGAGGCTTGCAAACATTTAGACGCAAACAAATGTGTTGAATTAGCCATTTATTTCGTTGTGTAATTATAGCCTAGTTTATATCATAAATGGCAACACTGAATTTATTCTGGCTTACTCCTCGTAGTTGAGTCAGATTTTTACAAATAAACTAAATCAGGTTTCAGGTGCAGTGAGGTATTAGTGAGTTAAGTGTGTTATTTCTGATGATATGCTTTCTGTAAGGAGGAACTGTGTGTGTGAGAGAGAGAGAGTGTGTGTGTGTGTGTGTGTGTGTGAGAGTGTGTGTGTGTGT